AAAGTAGTATTTCAAACTTGTGCTTACAGGTGGGGTATGTAATTTATTTCAGAAACACTTTTTGTTATATTTCATGGAATGCTCTTAACATCCCGATAGAAATGAATATATTAAATGCTTTGACAATAAATACATAAAAACATTTCATCTGTGGAAGCCGTGGCACTGTAAAAAGCACGACCAATCATTTTAGCCGGCCCAGCTAAAATAACTGGATGGCATACCTGCCTTCCATCTGTGCACAAACTTATCCCGTGTCCTCATTGGTCATGTGCACGTTCGTGTGTGTTGGAGGAGGGGCTCTGGCAGATTTTTTCCGGTTGTGTATTTTCAAATTCTAGCTCACTCGAGCCGGTTTCTCCAAAATTACCTACCCCACCTTTAATTATTGTGATTAACGCAATTACATTTGTATCAATTGACAGCACTACATACTTGGTTGCATTCAGACCTAATGTAAAGCTTAACTATAACTATTTTAATACGTTTTTAGAGTTTTTTTCCAGCCTTTATTGAACTGCGGGGGAAACAAAGGGGACAACACGTGGCAAATGGTCCCAGGCCGGATTTGAACCGTGGTAACTGGAACGTCAGCTCTACCAAGTGGGTATAAGCTAAACTTTACATTTTTCCATTATTTGGTAACTTATATATAAGAACATTGAGAGCAAAAGAAAATAACTTTTATAGGACATTTCTGTGGATATTTTTCTTCTTTAACGAAACTGCTCTCTCTTGTAAGTAACCATGTACATGTCTAGCTTTAACCATAGCCTCATGTTAAGCAAAGAGACAAACATACAGATTTTGTGCGATTTATCCTTTCAACTCTACCCTTCAGGAGTTTCTCCATTGGAAGCATACTGTATGCCACATATTTAAAAGTTGCAAAGCAGGGAGCAGATGCAGACAGCACGTGATTCATTAAAATATGCTAAACAGCTGCTTTTATTGCTGGAAAAATGTCAGTCAACAAATGTGTCAAAATCTCCCTCCTTTATTATGGTGGTGGTGGTGATGTTTGGAAGAAGGATTGGTGGTAAAATGCATAGCCAACAGACAGTGTGAAATTGTTAATGTGAGGGACTGGATATGTATGTGTGTAGTCAAACAGTGTACAGTGGAGTTATACATTTAATTAAATTGTTTGAAACTACGCATGTCAATCCTTTTGCATTACATTTGCATTTTACAAAAATAACAGTCATGTTCTGTTTTTAGTACTTTCTTCCCCTAGTGGTCATTTGGGAGTCATTGTTTATTTTCTTGTTTATTTCCTACTTTTGATTTCATTGGTTGATTTAGTCATGTGACATAGCCAGGTCATAGTTCAGAGATGGCAATCAGGAAAGGCTTAAGTTGTTGTGTACATGCATGTATGTTAGAATACAACCCAAATTAACCCTGACTTTTTGGCTTTTACACATGAAAAGTGGCAGGTTAACAATACCCAATTTGGCTATTAGTATATTTTACAACTTTGAACTCAACAACAGTTTCAATAAAGTTGTTGTTCTGGTAGTTAAAGGTTTTACCTGAAGGAAATATCAGCCAATCTTCATACGTTCCTTTCCCAATATACTGTAAGTCTACGGGAAAAGTAATGTTGGGCTCAATGGAATCACATGATGTACTAGGAAGTTGTAAACTACATTTTGGAAACTATTAAAATGGCTTGAAAGCCTTTTGGTTACGTGGTTACCTGCATCTCCAGCTACCCTTTCCTCTCTTTCCTGTTTGTGCCTTGGAAACATTTGCCTGTAAGTCATATTTAGTGTCATATACTGTGTTATGTTCAGTTACATTTAATAACCTTATACTTTTTAGTGTACACACATTTAAACACTGTCAGTATTAGATAATTGATAGCTTTCCTGCTGCATCCATCCCCATACTGCTTTTTTAAGTGGTGTATTTACAGGTATACAGTGATGCTGATAGGATTTTTAATGTAGGTCTGAAGGTCTGAATGGAATTATGTTACAGCAAAAACGTTTAAAGGCCATGTAATGCATCTAACACAGGTGTTTTTTAACATGTAGTTTAGATATCACCAGAATAAAAATAAATAAAAATGTTTAAAGTTTGGTCATAATTAAATGACATATACGTTAAAAACCGATGTTGGTTCCGAAGTTTGTCGAGTACGCCCCCGATCACTCCCGAACGAGCGGTGACGTCACACGTGGCAAACATTGACATTTTATAAAATCAGTCCAAATGGCAAGCAACGCGACAACTTCAGACAGCGACAGCGATCATTCAAGCTCAGATTCGGTGGGTTATCTGGATTCAGTTACAGAAGTAGAGAGTGAACCAGCTAGCCTTTCACTTCAAGGCATCTTGCCTTATCAGTACGAGCCTCCTGCCCGGCAATCGAACAACGAGGCAGAAACTTGTGAAAGAGAAGCGGGTTCCGCAGCCGGCGAGACTCGAGTCGGCAATACTGAATGGTAAATTCTGTTTTATTTAATTTGACCTGCACTAAATGTCGATCTTAATTTGTCATCTGTTCCTCACACGTCCGTCAGATATTGTTTTTTTTTAATGTTATGTACAATATTCAGGTGTACATGTCAATGCTGTGAAAGCATGCCCACTGCAGATGAATGCGTATGCTGCAGAGAGATCTGGCAGGTGATGGAACAAATAGACAGTTTGCAACCTACTGACCAGACAGAAGACACCGACGAGAAACCAAGGTGCATTATTAGCCACCCAGGCTTTAGAGAAGGCTGTCTCAGTGTTTGGACACTTCAGTGTCCAAACACTGAGACAGCCTTCTCTAAAGCCTGGGTGGCTAATAATGCACCTTGGTTTCTCGTCGGTGTCTTCTGTCTGGTCAGTAGGTTGCAAACTNGAAAACAGTATTTCCCGTGTCGGCGTTTTCATAGTAACGTGGTTGCTAGGGACGCAGCTCTCGCTGCCGGAAATTAGTATTCTCACTCCCAACTCGTCCTATATGTCAGGATCCCTTGGTGTCACTATCAACGTAGTGGGGGGTCCTTTAGCGTCGATTTTCAACTATCAGGGAGTCCCATTGACTTGCATAGAGCGAACCCCCCCCACTTTTGTACATATAAAAACGCCACTGGAACTATAGTACAAAGTAATACACAGTACCTCACAGATGAAATTGTTACGTAATCATGATAGAATAAACTGGCAAACTATTATAAATAAACATTTTACTTATTACGCTTTTCTAACCCTACTTATTCGTTGTTTCATCTTTATGCTCTTTCATTTGCATGTTAACAGAGCACTATAATATAGTATTAACAAAAGTGCTGGACGACACACTTGTAAAGAAGGAATTTCTGTTTCTCTTTTTATTTAGCTAATCTGTTGCCAGCAGGTCATTTTATCTGTATCTCCGTTTGTGAAATACAGCCTGTATATTTCCATAACTTCAATAACTTTCAAACTAAGGGAAGACAGAAAGAAGACTGCCAACCATAAGTGTTTTGCATGTGTCTTAGATCACCTGATTGGATATTAAATTGACAATTCCCTAAACCCCTCCCCTGAATAGCAATTGTCTATTCTTTGCAACTGTAATCAGTATGTGTGCTGAAACAATGTAAATTAAAGTGCTATTATAAGATCTAGCATTAAAGTCCATGTAATGTCCAAAATAAACGTTATTCTGTGTTAATAAATCGCTTCATCACTTTCCACTTTTTCATTTGACATATCAACATCAATGATTCTTTCCATAAATACCCCCCAAATAACATGAAATGTGTGCCACTTTCCCGTGTTATTCCGCTCCGGTAGCAAAAAGCTTGCCAGCCATTAACCCAGCTGTGTGACGTCACACGTGGCAAACACCAGGCTCGTCTGGATTGTTTGTTTTGTATCCTTCCGCTATTTTCGCTCAACATGTGTGTAACCGGACCTCGCTAAACTTTTTTTATCCAACAATTCATGATGGTGAAGCGATGTGTAGTTCAGTTTTGTGGTAATTCAAGCCTGTCAGGTCACAGTGTACACGAATTTCCGAAAAACACGACTGTTAGACGTCAGTGGATCCGTTTTGTACAGACCAAAAGAGCGTACTTTCATCCGCCGCGCGAGAAATCACAAGCTGTGGTAGCCATTTCACCCCAGACAGTTTTGAAGGAGCTTTGATGGTGGAATTAGGCTACAAGACAAAAAAAACGCTTAAGTTAGATGCTGTACCCACCATAAACCCTGAAAGACCGGCCGAAACTCCAAAAGCATCAGGCACAAAGAGAGCCAGATCTGCTGCATGTTCGTCGGTAACGACTGCCAGCAATGTTGACAGTTTCTTCACTTCGTCAGGCAAAAAAACTAAAACAAGTGAAATATGCCCACATCCTAGAAGGGCTGTTTCCAAATTAGAGGTGGCAAGGGTATGTGTTATTTCATTTATATCAAATTAATATGTTTTGTTTTGTTTTAGACTGAAAACAAATGTAGATCTATGAGAGTTTGGTGTGCTGTATTTGTGGGGCCTATGATAAAAGTGTGATTTTAAGTTATTCAACCCATTTCTGGGGAAACATACATAAATAGTAAGAATTTGAGTTGTTAAGATGTGTGCCTAAATAAAATAGAATTAGCTTGTGTGCATATGTCTGTCTCATTAAAAGCTAAACGTTTTGAGACCAACATGATTGCTGCAGGATCCATCCCTGAAATTGTTAGGTGTTTTTAACTGTTTGTTTTTGGTTCCAGTTGCTGACAGAACAGGATCATGTCTCGAGCGACTCAGATGTTTATATGGAATCTAATTTGCCAGAAGATCCTGCTGCAGCTTCGGTGACTGAAAGCACATTGCCACATAGATCTGAGGCAAGCACACAGTGCTCAACTCGAACAAGACCTTACTATAGAAGCAAAGGTACAGAAGAAAACAGTTACAAAATATAGATTGGTGAATTGTTGTTATCATGTGTCTCAGTATCACTTTTGACATTCCATGTGTTGGACAATGTTATGGTTACTATCATTTCCAATTTACAGGGACCTCAACAGATCCAGTTATCATGGTTGATGCATGTACACAGTATGAAGAGCAAGAAAGTGCATCTACACCAACAGTGTCAACACCAAAGAAAGGTTGTGCTACACTTGTATTCGACGCTGATCAGACACCCATCAAAGATGACTCTGACTACAAGCCTTCGGAGCTGTCGATTGATGAGGCATTACAGGAAAAAGAGGAGGAGATATGTGAAGAAGATAGGTTAGTTTGTGTGAACATACCATAGTTTAGTTAGAAGGTAATGAAAATTAATATAACCAGATTTACATTAATGTACTTGTAACAAAACACATCATTGATAAAGTTGTTTGCTTCCAGACAAAGGCAAGAAGAACTTTTGCACAAATGCCCCAGGAAATATGCACAAGACAAGAAGTATTTCGTCTTTGAGGCCAATTTGTTGGAGCTGTTCCAGTACTGCCCAATTTGTGCTGGATCAAGTTCTAGCGAGGTTGTTAACAACATTGGCAGTTTAGTGCAGATCAGGCAGAAATGTGGAAACTGTAAATACACAAGAGTATGGAACAGCCAGCCATTTCTCAATCAACTTCCTGTTGGAAATCTGATCATGTCGGCATCAATTTTGTTGTCAGGAAGTCTACCCTCCCAGACTCTAAGGGTGTTTGACATCATGAAAGTTTGCAGGATTAGCCGCAATACCTACCATCGTCATCAATCATCCTACATCATCCCATATAGTCAACGCCTGGCAAACAGAACAGACGAGTCTTGTGGAGAGACTCAAAGGCATGGAAGGTGGCATACATCTGACAGGGGATGGTCGTTGTGACAGCCCTGGCCACTCGGCCAAATATGGAGGCTACACGGTGATCGAACAAAGGATCAACAAAGTGCTGGATACCCAACTAGTCCAGGTAAATAGTTAGTGAATTAAGTACATGTAGTAATATTCTTGTACATGGTACAGTACAATTTACCACACTTCTAACTTAATAATAATGAATGCAAGGTATGAAACCACCATACAAATACAGTATAGGACAATGATGACATATTACCAATGTTTATGTCGTTATTCAGAGCAATGAGGTAACCAGCAGCAATGCTTGTGAGCTCGAGGGCTTGAAGAGGTGTCTGACACTCCTGACCGAGACGCATGAGCTGGATGTCGCATCTATGGTAACTGACCGGCACAAATCTATTGCAAAGTACCTGAGAGAAGAAACTCCACACAACCCCCACACAGCAGAGCTGAAACATCACTTCGATGCATGGCATATAGCGAAAGGTGTGAATTTGTGTGCTAATTATGGAAGTAGAACTGAATTTATTAGAATATTGTACATTTGTGTTGTGTTGTGTATATATATGCTTATTTGCTACATGTATGTTGGTAATTAATTTAATCTTGGTAAAAAGATCGATGCCCTCTCCAAAAAGAAGGGTTGTGAAGATGTTGGTTTGTGGAAGAAATCGATCATTCACCATATGTACTATGTCGCAGGGACAGTTCCAGAAGGGCAGGCTGACTTGTTAGGGGAAAAGTGGAAGTCTGTTGCTAACCATGTGCAAGACATACATGAGCATGATACCGAGATATACCCCATGTGTGACCAGGTACATGGATTTTTTTTTTGCACATACTGGAATAATTTAAAAGGCAAAATTAAGAGTCAAATTTAGTTGCCAAATCAGAAAGCCACCTACCCAGGCAGCAGTCCTGGTGTTAATCTCTTTCCCTAAAAATGTAAACTATTTATTGCAGGATCTAAGCCAGGTGAGCTGCTGAATGACATCTTAACCAATCCCCATGTACTTAAGGACATCAAGAAGATCTCGAGTACATACCAAACATCATCTCTGGAAGCATTCCATAGTTTAATCATTCGCTTTGCACCGAAGCATACAGGATTCATGTGGCTCTGTCAGCTTGCTAGGTAACTAATGATAGCCTTGTACTAAATGGATTTCTTTTAATTGTGTTTTAGGGATACTTTGATTCTATATTTTCTGTAATTGTTCAGTCTACATAAGAAATAATCGTTGTAAATATTTATTTCAGGTACTACTTGGCAGCACTACACTACAACGAAAACAGTGCAAGACTACAGGCTGTGACTCGAGAGGGCCAAGAGCGTTTCACAATCAGTTTCCCAAAGTTCAAAAAGGGTCAACATTCAGTACGCAAGGAAAAGACACCAGCAAAATATAGAAAGTTTAGATAGGGGACAGATTTTAATATACCAATTTACCAATACAGTAACACATGAGCATTCCGACCCTGCTAAACTATTCTATTATTTTCAGAGTACACAACAAACATTCTTGAAGATCTTCTGCAAGCCTATTCTGACTCGCCACAGAACTTGAGAGAGTCCATCCAAGAAGTCCGTAACCAAGAACCACAACCTTTGGCCTCAGAGATGGACCACCCCGATAAAGATGAGGCAGTGCGTAGGCACAGGTGTCGGTTCATTAACCAGTAACAGTGTTTACTAGACTATCTTTAATCTTTGCTTTGAAATAAGATTCCTGCTTTCTTTTGTGGTGTGGTTCTTATCTTGTGTAAACAGCTCCTTTTAATTTCGTACAAAAACTTTTCTTGTATCTATGGGTGATACTTCATAATAGTGTACTTCAAATAAAATTGACAATATCTCTATGCTTATATACTGTATTAACATAATACCTGGCAGACTGTCAAACTGGTTATTGAATCCTCTGGTGATCAGCCATCAATATTATACATTTTTCTTTTGTGGTGATTGTTTCTACTCACTCATATCACTGATATTATTGCCTAATACATTACATTCTGCTGTTTATGTCTGTGCTTGTTGGTGGGGTGTCGGGACCTACATTTCGTGCAATGCACTTCTACTGAACCAGTAGGCACAGTGTTCCAACATCCAGGTTCTACTTTCTTCTGGTTGATCAGATTAGCATTAAAGATATTACTATCATTAGTAGAGAAGCTGAATTAAAGCCCTAAGAATTTAAAAACACTTTTGAGCTGTGAATGTTTCCTGATTGCTATAAACATTGATCATGGGTGCTGGAAGATTGTGCACAAAACTCGTGTCAGAATTAAGTTACGCAGGTGTTATGCCAGCTTGAGCTAAATGTCACCAGAGTACAGTGAACTTGCCTAGTGACTGAAATATATACAAGTTGAAGTCGAATAAGTAAGGCCACCTGTAAATTGTCCTGAAAATGTAATTTGAGAAAGTTCGTCATTTTTTGTTCGAACGAAAATAAAAAAAACACATAACGTTCAAAGTTACAATACGAACCCTTTTTCTTTGTTGATGTGTACTCCTTTAATATTCTCGCCCAGATACTAAGACAGTCATCAGACAATGTTGGAGTATAAATAAACCATGTTTCATTTTATGGTTTATAGTACAATATTCGGTAAACATTTGGTAACATATTGTAAATAAAAAAAGGTTTATAATAAATATTAGACATATGAAAAAAATGAATACCTTCATACTATAATGTTTAATAGCTGGTCAGACCACGACGCCCACATGGAGCCGGTTTTTAAGTCTCAGGCGCGGACGTCAACGACATTTTGGCTTCTATCCCTTCTGAATGGACTTGGCCTCCGGCGATAGTCCTAAGTTACCGGTTAGAACCATTAAACTGTATTCAGTACGTCAACTTGGCCAATTTTACCACAACGTACTACATTTAATTAAGAAGTTTCATGTAGTAAATGTTATAATAAAAAGGTTTCTTTGTACATTTATATTGTTTAAAAGGTTTAGTGTTCAAACATTCTAACATAATTAAATGACAAACTATTTATTTTTTCCCAAGAAACAATTAAAGTGAACATTGTAAACTAGAAATAACGTCACATGTACAATCAGAGATAAACCATATACACGCTCGGGTGTTTATTAATTTTTCACCATGTTTATTATTTCTATAAGTCTGA